GAAGGACAAGGTTGAGGAATGATGGGGGCAGGGTTGGAAGGCCCGACCAAGCCTGCGAGCCTGGCTCTCCTTGCCGAGGCGACGGTCTCCATGGTTGCTGCGGTGATGGGTGGTGGATTAAATATGTCGGCTGTAGGAGACTCGATAGCGTTAAGCGAAGACTCCTCTTCTGAACCACCCTCGGATTCTTCCTCGTCCGACGAGGAGTGATCTTCCCAAACAGAAGGGTTGAAAGGAAGAGGGATCTGGGAGAATCGGCTGTAGGTTGGTGTATAGCCGAGGAGGGTATGCACCGCTCGTTCAACCGGGTCCGAGGACCAGACCTTTAGCAGATCGACGAACCGGACTTGAGACCTCAGTAGTTGAGCAGAATCCCGGCGATATCCTTCTGCGAAAATAGAGCAAAAATCAGTATGTCCCTCGGACCTAAAAGATGTAAATCGGGAAGTCAGAACGAAAACACACCTTTATCCCTCGGCACTTTGGGGCAGTACAATCCGTCATACTCGGGCCCGGTCCCTTTCTCCCAACTGTCGTTGAGCATGATCAGATCGTCCACGTACCCCTTGTCCGAGTCAGGCATGTGGGTTACCAGATACATCGAGGGATCTCGGGCTTGGAGGTAATATCGTCCCCCGACGACTAGCCTTAGGTCATAGCAGAACAAAATTTCGTCTACCCCCAAGTTAGTCCCAAGCCGAGTGTTTAAGGCGACTACGCCCATCACAATCCTAAAGAAGTTAACCCTGCATTGAAGGGGAAAGAGATTCAATTGCATCAGGACTCCCAACAACAGGGGATGGAGGGGGAAGGTCAACCCTCCTTCCATGATAGCCTTTGTCCAGAAAGGCATCATATCCTCACTTCCCATGTCCCTCCTATGGTGAGTAGGATTGAAGGGGAAGGTGAGGACAGGCTTGCAAATATGGTACCTGACCCTAAAGGTGTGGATGTTCTCGTCTGTAACTTGGGTTCTCCTCATTTTGCAGGTATTACTGGCCCTAATAGACGTTTTCCCCCAGTTCTACTAGTTCTGGTCATCGATCGGAGCTAAGAGGGCAAAATATAGAAGAAACGAAGAGAGAAAAAGCTCAAGTGGAAGTATTTATAGGAGGTTGGTCTTTGGAGAGAGCTCGGAGGACCAGAGAAACTCGTAGGACAGGAGAGCACTCGGGGTCTGATTGCTGAGGAGAGATGAAAGATGCAAAAGTTCTAAGAAAGCAGAGAAACTCCCTATTTATAGTGCCGAGCAAGGAGTGAGAATTGAGGAGTTGGCTCATCATTAGGGCATTTGAAAAAGGTGGCACCAGACGTACAAGTAACCGTCGCCATTAATGAAGCATGGTGATAAAGCCCCAATCCCATCACTCCACTTATCGAACGCAGTGTAAGGGATTGCAGCTGGGGGGCAGTTGACGGGACTCTTGTATGGATCCTCAACCCCCAGGATGACACGTGGCCCAATAAAATCATTAGGATGTCTGGAAGATGCCGAGGGGGTGAGCCGAGGTGTGGCGACACAAAGCGGCTGAGGACAACAGCTGGTATCATAATCAAAGTGATAACTCACATTTATGGCGAATGAGTGATAGTGACAGGACAAATAAATGTGACCCTGCCGTTAACTGCTCTCTACAAGTCTATGACTACTGTCATGATGGTTGAAGCATTAATAACTGATGCGCCGAGACAACGTGATTGGTTCTCCTGAGTTCCCTGATCCGTCGAGTATTCCGTGCTCCGTCGGTGTTAGACCCCAACCTCTTGGATTGGGATGCTCGGCTCGTAGTATAAATGCTCGGCTTGTGGCCGAGCACTTACACCATTCCCCTAACATTCAATTGGAGGAGGCGTAAAGGGGAAGCATTCACAACACGAGGGATGGTGTGTCAGATGTGGGATGTCCAGATGGGACTGAAAATCTAGGACAATCATTGCTAATTCAGTTATAAATATCCCTTAGAAAAATGGACAAAAGTACGCAAAATCAAACCAAAGTACATCTACTAAGAAACAACTCTTCGATCTTACTAACTTAAGCTTCGGAGGGGATCCGTCGGGCTCACGCCTGACCCCCTTTCTTCTAACCCTGTCTTTGTAGGTTCGCTAATCAAGGGATCACTACCTTACAAGATTGCAGGAATCATCCCGTGCACTAACTCAATGTAAGTTAGTTTCAACAATAATCCAAAAACAATACTACATATTGTAGTATTCGATAAATTCAGGACACGTGTCCATACTATAAAGGGACAAATGGTAAGAGTTAACAACATACATGGCAGTGGGGCCTGACAAGAACTAGTTGGACTGGTATAAATAATAATACAAGGTGTGATAACCCTTAGGCTTGACATTCAATGCGATGCCTTAGGCACTATGCCCTCAGGCACGATGCCCCAGGCGCAACAGGGCGAAACACATCCCCATCGTATTGGAAGTGACCAAATGAATCTTTTACCAAGGATGGACAAGAGTGGAACCACAAAAGTTTGGAGGTAACCTCATACTCGCCTCCCTCACTACAGGAGTGGTATCCTCAACTTATTGGACATCATTGCTCAACTTGACCACTAGACTAAAAGGAGGGATCTCCACCTAGGGACAAGTTAGTATGATTATCGACCTTGGCCTAGGATAGGGTTTTGAAAGTTTAGTCTACTCGAGTAGGTCTCCCAATGTATGGATCACTGTTCACTAGGATGTGCTTGATTAGGATCCAAAAGGACCCCTAAAGTAGCTGAGATTATTGATCCGGATCAACATATGGGATAATAGGAGATATGAATTGGTGGCTAAAGAACCGAAACTATTTGAGTTTCCTCTATCAGGCACTTCAACAAATGTCTCAATAAAGGGTTTAAAGAGGGAAGGGAGGACTCCGAAAAAAGTGCACTTGGGACATCGCGTACATGATCCTCTTGAGGTCATGGTCCATTGGTGACTAGTCGCTATCATTAACCTTGGGAGCCCCCTTTCACCTCGACTGTCGCACCCTCCCCAAACCCATGTCCAAATTGCGTTTGGGAAAACGCCACATCTGTCTAGTTAACATTGGGACACGTAACTAGCAGTTAGGTGGCCACTAGTATCACTATGATCAAGGCAGTTGTGAGTTAGCATGAGTGTTAGGGGTCGCAGTAGGTAGCCCTTCGGGCAATTCGACCTGTCCAAACATTACACTCTAAACATTCACATTACTTGTCCACAGAGGATGATGAAATTTTGACTTGGTTGGTAAGAGCATTTTACTCCACCTACCCTCTGTCAAATGGATTGGTCCATTTGTTAACAGGTTGTTCGGGTTCTTTTTATTCCATTCACTTATCCTGCTCATCTCTTTCGATTATCCTTAGCATAAACATGTATGTCAACCTTTTTTAACTCCTCCCTCCTCCCAAAAAAATACTTTTATTTCTTATTTTTGTTTTTTTTTCTTTGTTCTTATTAAATTGACTAGTTGAGTCCTAATATTTATTGGTATATGCAATTGATCCAAATAGTTATGATAGATTATGTTAATAAATTAAGTTCTAACAACATTATTGTATGAGCAATGTTATACCCTTTTGGATTAAGGTATGAAAAATTTATCTTTTATAAATACCCTAGTTTCAGAGTCGATGGTCTGTTCTGTACTTGACTGGACTAGAAATGAGATTAGTTAAAATGTATATAAACTGGTCCACACACCCCTGAATATTGAACCAAAAAAAGTATGAACAATGCTATAGAAACCTAATTTAATGCAGTTCCTATATTAGATAGACCATACTTCTAATCTAAAGATTGTATTAAATTAATTCTTCAAATTATATTCAAATAACATTTTTCTTATTATATTGCGATCTAATCGGTGGGGGTGAAATGGATCTCATTAAACACTGAGGTCCAATATAATATTAGTAACAACAGCTAAATGGGGCTCCAAATTAAGTCTAAGATTGGTCATCGGAGTCTGTGCGATGACCCGCCTATATTTTAGAAGTTTGGTTTGGATACACGTTCAATAATACCAATTGCATCCATCTTCTAAATTTGTATCGGATTAGAATCAAAATTCGAGTAATTGACATAATTAATTTTGATTTGACTTTGAGATTGTGAATGGATAAAGAATTTGGATTTGAATTTGAGCTTCGACGTGCATAAATATTTTGACGAATTAATTAAAATATGTGATCTCATATTTTAGAGTTGAATCCAAATCTACAACTATGATTGTAAAATATTAAATATTTTTTCATATTATAAATAAAATAAAATAGAAGGGTTATACCATAAAGCATAATAATGGGTTATATTGCTTTGACTCAACAATGAATATTGTAATTTACATTGTAACTTTTAAACACAATAAATCTATTTATTTATCTTTAACATTTTAATTATAATAAATATTTCAATCACACTTATCTTCTAATTATAATAAATACAGTAAATATTTGAATGAAGATTAAAAAAAGACATGCTTTAGATGAGACATTGGTTAAAAACAAATTAAATTTGTTTTGCACTCAATCCAGTTTGATTCAATCTCATAACCAATTCAATCCATCAATTTATCACATCTAGATGAGAGTATTCTTTTTTTTTTTTTTTTGCTACAAGGTGTCTAAGTTTATGTTGACTATTTTCTCGAACTTTTGTATCAATTACCGTAACTCGAGCTAGTTGAAGAACACCCAAGGTTGGCTTAATCACAATCACTTGACACCTTAGATGAAAGTGATAGAGTGTATGTGTTAAAATTATAAGATAATTGAATAAAATCGATTAAAATCTATATTAATAAAATAGGGTTTTCTAGTTAAACTGTTTACGCTTCTCAATTAGAAAAATATAACAATAGCATAGATCGTTTCGATCCAACGATTAATATCTTTTAACCTTTTAGTTACAATAACTTATTTAAATTTAAATTTTTAACTTTTTAAATATGATAATTCATTTAAATTTTATCTTTTAATTATAATAACTTACTTAAATTTTAATTTTTTAATCATAATAACTCAACTCATACATTAAAAAAAAATGTGTTTTACACGGACACAACTAGTCGAACTACAATCTGCAAATTCAGTTCATAAAAACAAACCCGTTGGAGGATATTCGGGTCAAAGTCGGTCCGAATGTCAACTCCGGACCCACCTAATAATGTTGTAACCACCATCGCCACCGACTGTCCCCGTGAATAAAACTTGCTCCTCACCCTCATCCATCGCTGCAAAACCCTCAGTTGCAGAAAATTTCTCCTTTGCTTGAAAAAAAATTCCCTTTTTGCGTTCTGGGTGTTTTTAAGATTTAGGAATGGAAGGCTCGAATTCGATAGGGGCAGTAGTGCAAGGTGGCAGCACCAATGAAAACGACGGGATCGAGTGGGAGATGAGGCCAGGTGGCATGCTTGTTCAGAAGAGAGACGATGGTTATGATCATGGTGGTGGTGGGCATTCAATTAAGATTAAGGTCTCTCATGGGTCGAACCAGCACGACCTCACTGTTCCCTTCCAGTCTACCTTTGGTAAATTTCTTCGTTCTTCTGAAAATTTTCTATCTTTTTGTTTCCCAGATTGTTGGTTTTGAGTAAATGAAACAGAATTGAAGGAAAGATAACGCCTGAATGGGAGACCGTTAGTTTTTATACTTTCATAAAAACAAACAGGGTTTTTGTCATTTATCAAAGAACACCCAAAAAAACACAGCTTTTCACGTAGTGGGTACTTAAAGATTCGGAGTAGTTGTGGTAATTTTGTGAGTATCTGCCCCATTACTTTGTTCTGGTATCTCTCATTCTCACTAAATTTTCTCTCTTTTATTGTTGTTAATTTGTACATCTGTGCAACTACCTTTATGTTCAAAGTATACTCTCATGTACTATACTCAGGAACAAACTTAACCCTAGAGGTTTTTATGTTTTATATATGCACTAGCAATAACCCATGTCTAATGGAACATTGATCATATAATATTTATGTTTTAAATAATATATATATTTTTTTATTTTTTAAATTAAGGAAGAGAAGTAGTTGTGTTCGGCAGAATGTTGGTTGAGTTGTTTGACATTGGGGTTGTCCAGAGAAGAAAATATTTTTTGAGCGTGAAAAAAAATTGAGATGAATTTTGTATAATTGAATCAAAGTTAGATAAAAATTGAATCAATTTTAACCGTTGTTGTACTTTTATAAGTTTAGGATTCAATTTCCTATTAGATAGATTTGACAGTTCTTAGATCAACACCTCACCCCAACAGAAAAACATAAGCCAAATTAGGAAAAAAAATGGTTGTTGACTTTGAGATTTGAATCAATTTGAGTTTATGGGTGTTGTAACCACTGTGTTTGTTTTTGTAACCTTGGTCATCTGTGAGATTGATGAGTATATGCCTTCACCTTTCAATTATTTGTAGTGGAATTTGTGTATTTTCATGTGTCTCATGTGAGGTTATGACCTCTGAAATTGTTTGGGTCATTTCATCTTCAATTTTTACATTTGATATATAATTTTCAGATGTTCTGTAATACATGCAAATTTTTTCTATGTAAGGTCATTTTGTTTTCAAGGTTTTTTGGCATTTTGTGGGCTCTTAATGTCAATGTTGATGTATATTTATTCTGCTGGTATGGAAGCATTTTTGTTTGGTTTGGGTTGGGGGGGGGGGGGGGTGTGTGTGTTGTGCTCAAAGTAGTGTGTGAAACAAGAAATTTGTGATTTTGCTAGTGTGTGGGAGTAGGAAATAGGATTCATTGCCCTGATTTCTTTATCCAAAATTGAATTATTTGAACTTATTTCTCAACCCATGCACTTTTCTGAATGCACTACTGTAACCTACTTATTTTTTTTTTACTTTGTACTTTTTAGGTTAAAATTGTGTTTCTTCAATGCGAGTTTGAGCCAAACACAATTTCTCTAAAATGCATGAGTTTGGGAATCAAGTTCAAAACCACCCGGTTTTGGACGAAAAGATGAAAACCACACTTATCAGGGCAATAGCTCTAATACATCCCTCTGTTAAACACATTGTTCCATGTGACATACTTATTGATGTTGAAATCAAAAATGCACATGTTATTGGGACCGAGTCAATCGTAACTAACTATAAAATGTGTTCTAAAAACATTGAAGTACATCATTATTTCGGCAAGGTGTTTTGGATTTTCTGTGCTTTATTGAATTGTATGCTACTATTAATGCAGGAGATCTGAAAAGAGCTATTTCCCAAGAAACTGGTTTGGAGCCAGAGGAGCAAAAACTGTTGTTCAGAGGAATGGAAAAAGAGGATCAGGAATATTTGCACTTGGCAGGCCTGAAGGACAATTCAAAGGTACTACTCATGGAGGATTCAGTGAGCAAAGAAAGGAAGCCTGAAGTGGTAAAGGCTAGGAGTGAGTTATCAAGAGGTGATGCAGCTGTTGCTGAAGTCAGATCCGAGGTGGATAAACTCTCAGAACAGGTAAATCCTTTTTTAATGTTTTCATTGTGTACCCTATTAGCTTTGAGACTTAATTTATTTTATGTAGATTTCTGCTTTGGAAGCTGTTGTATGCGATGGGACGAAGGTTGCGGAGCATGATATTATTTACATAACGGAGATGCTCATGAAACAGCTGCTGAAATTGGACAGCATTGAGGCTGAAGGAGAAGGAAAAGTGCAGCGAAAGATGGAGGTTAGTATGTAACGCCGTTAAGGTAACTGTTTTGATCATGTATGTTGCAATCATCTTTTGTTAATTGCCGCTATGGATAAAACTCGGAAAAAAATGTTTACATTGGGATGAGAATTTTCTTTACATCAATGTCTAATTGATGCTGGTGAATTATGCATTTTATCTATTCTGTTGTTATATCCGCTACCACACAATAGTGGCGAGAGACAGTTGACTTGACTGGTGAAGACAAGAATAATGTGTTCACAGAGAGATCTAGTCACTTAATAGATCTGAAATTATTTATACTACAAAATAAAACTGCAATAATTAACTTATAACTATATGTTCAGGTACGTCGGGTACAGAGCTTTGTGGACACAATGGATTCACTTAAGGCAAAAAATTCTGAACCCATTGGCAACAGCTCCAATGCTGTGTCGGTGACAACCCAGTGGGAAACATTTGAAACTGGTGTTGGAAGTCTTAATGCCCCTGCCCCAATGCCATCTCCTACAAAAGTCACCCAGGAATGGGAACAGTTTGATTAGCTAATATCTGTTAACTGCTTTTGGAGTGTACAAACTCATGATACATAGAATATATGGTGCTGGGAACACACGATGGTTCCAATATTTATTTTCTTGTTGCAGTCCTTGTGACTGATAGGGAAATTACATTTAGTTTAAGCAACGATTTTTTTCTTTTTCATATGAATCTGCTTCAACCTGGTTGAACCAATCAATTGTATTGAGTAGTGCTTGGATTGCCTTTCGTGTGTTTTATATTGAGAATGTATGGTAAATTTCTTTGAACATAGCCTCTACACGATTTGCATTCCATTCTTTTTAGATATTTCCCTTTCTCCTTGACCAGCAAGAGCATAGGCTGCTTCTCCATGAGCTGCGTCATCTCCAATCTTTAGCTCTTCCTCAGATATTCAAAGGGGATACAACCCTGATGACGACAAGAATAATGGATGTTGCCCTTCCATCCTCGGATAAAACTAGTACCTTCGAATTGCTTCAGAAACTGGACTCTGCCTTTTTCGCCATAGAAGGCACCTTGGGGGTCGGGACTGGGAGAGAAACATGATACAGAGGGTTGGAGGAGCAGAGTCCTCTAACCTTGAGCAGTAATAGAAACTTCCAAGGAATAGTTCCTGAAGCTATATCCATTACAAGTGCTGCCCATACCTGAACAGGACCTGGAGTCCAAGAAACCAGTTGGATTCAGAAATCACCTAACGAGCTCAAAGTTTGGGACAGTTGTGCAGTCAGCAACCATGGTTTTTTCAGACATGTACCATCAATAGCTTGTAGCTGAATTCACTTGGGTTTTGTTCTCTGCATGAGATTCTGCGATCAATTCTCTCAAAAACTCTCAAGTCTGGTTGTAATAACCAAAGTTTCGCTAATGAGAATACGGATCGGGATTTGAGAGTATGTGCAATAGGGGTTTGAATATTGGGAATTTGAAGAATCGATTACTCTGGAATGGTGTGTAGGTGATTTGAGGATGATTAGGATGTTTGATAGGTGTAGGAAGATATCTGGTGAAGAGGGAACAATTTAGGAAACATAACTGACAAACTAGGGTTATGGTGTATCCGAGAGTTAGGGGTACAGGACTGTTATTCAAAAATGAAATTGGGGTTGATGTAGAACCCTAAAGATTAAATGGATAATTTTCTTGGGTAGGTTTTAATGTATATTTGATTTTTTTAAAAAAATTAATTAATTTTTGAATTTTGTGAAATTACCAAACTATCCTTGCATGGAAGCCATGTCCAAGTTGTTGCTTGATAGCAGCAGAGCTCTCACCAACCTTCTCCAAGCCTCCAGAATGTTTCTGGACCGCCAGCAGAGGAGAGAGATAAGAGAGAAGCTAGAGAGAGAAAATTAAATTTGGGAATTTTAGATTTGTGGAAGAGGCTACTTTGAACGATTAGAGGTATGATATTAGACTAATTTGAGGGTTAGGAATCTCCTGGTATCATTAGAATTTTATTTCATGTACTACAATTGCTAAAATTTATGTTTTAAATTTTCAGGTCTAGGTTTTTATGAAATGAGTTTTAAGTTTGAGATCATTTTGATTAAATTAGTTGCCATGACTGTGTTGAGGACAGGTAGATGAGTACTTTGGTGGCGATTTCAAAACTTGCCCCGGTTGGAGGTGGTGGGGTGGTGGTGATGAAGTTTCGACCATGGTGGGTTTTTGATCTCTTTGTTTTGGAGGTTAAGCTTCGAATGGGAGGTTGCACTTAGCTAAAATGGATCTTAGGAATCCATTGGTTACCTTAGAAATGGATTTAGAAGTTGTTAAGATAGTTAAAATGCAATTTGCAGGTTTGACCATAAACTAAAAACCTTATTTTTGGTTAACTTTGATCGGGTTTTTTTTAGGGGTTTGAGCTTAATTCGAAGCTCGAGAATTATGGGGTTTGTTAGAGTGATGTGTGGTGAGTATTTAGGTTCAAAAATTAGGTGAAAAGGTACACTGAGTAGGGAGAAATAAGAGTGAGAAGTAAGAGGGTTAGGGCTGGTGGAAGGAACCGAGGATTTTGGTCAAGGTGACGAACGAAAAAGATGAAGGAGGAGGTACATTAGTGCACCCCATCGACGCATGAGGGCACATTCAACTTCTGACCGACCTTTGGTCGGTGCCAAAAGCTCCGTACCATCCGTGCGGAAGTTCTGGTAAAATTTTAACTCGATTCGACGGTTAGATCAAAATGAGGAGTAAAATGACTTTTTGGCTTCCGGAGTCAATTTGTTTGGGGGTATTTTTGCCAAATAAATTTTATATTCATTTATAATTAGTTAAATGGATTATGTGGGTTAAATATCATCGAAACATAACACTGTTTAATTTTTGGCTATTTCAAATCAAAATACCGAGCGGGTAGGGTTTCCCAATTCTGGAACTGGTGATGTTTTTCTAACTTAATTTTCAATTATTTCATATGTTATTTATGATGTTTTAGTATGTTTTGAAATATATGATTGAGTGTTTTAAATATTGAGTTGGATTCGGACCCGAATTAGGGTTTTTGAGTGCTGTTTGCACTAATGTTTTGGAAATGATCGTATTTCTTGAATTGCTCGTATTGAATGAAACTTTGGGATCCTTTTAAAGGAAATATAAGTGCACACAGGTCGAGTGCTAAAAAGGTTTATATTCCAGTTTGAGGTCGAAGAGGGTGCTCATTGAGTTTGTAGATATTTGGGTGACCCATTGGTCTTCGGACTTGGATACTAAATGTTGACTAGGGAGCGTATCTTCCTCGGGGTGCAAGTCCCCCAAAAGGTTGGAACGTATGTTCGTATGGACCATTAGTGGTTTATTAGGATGAATTGCCCACCAATATAGCACTGTACTTGAATTTCTATACTTGCTCTTTTTTAGTTTTATTTAACTGTTACGATTTCACATGAAATGATGTTTTTGCTGACATATATGTATCAAATGCTCTTTTGGATTTTGCCCAATCTTGATAAACTATGCTATTTTCAAACTTGTTGGCTTAGAAATTGAGTTATTATACTGAGCTGTTGATGCTCACCTTATATTATTTCTCCATTTTAGATGTGAGAATACTGTGAGATTTGTACATAGTAATCTGCCAAAGTTTCTATATAACTTTTGAAGACGTATTTGAAGTTTGTAATAGAATAAAAGAAAACCTAATGTGTAACGTGTATTTAATGGAATTATAGTTTGTAATAGGAGTAGATGTGTATGTTAGTTATGCATACATTTATACAATAATTTATGGTTTGTATATTGTGGGTTATTTTGCTATGTTACGCTACGACTTGTTATTCTATTATAATGTTTCATGGATTAAAGTAACACCTGTCACATGCTTAGCTGATTCGGGTTGTGACACTGGTAATCATGAACAAAGGCTCAACAACAATAGAGATGGACCGGTACAAAATTCACACATGCTATGTTTAAGACCCACTAAACCTTGGTGGGAATGCCCTAAGCATACACTCAACTCAACTAAATAAAATTGTCCCAAAATTTTTGGGGTCGGTTACATGAATCAAATTCCGTCATTAAGTTTTATCAAGGGTGATATTTTCAGTTAACCATAAGTTATCATATATTTTTTTACTATTTCATTTAAAGTTAATTTTGGTCTCCTTTTACTCTTACGTTTGCTTTCAATAACTATCATATCACACTTTCTCACCGGTGTCGTAGTACGCTGTTTATAAATATGTTCAAATTACCTAAGTCGAATTCTCCTTAACTTATCTCTTATTTGTGTTTCCTCTACTTTTTTTTTTGAATATGTTCGTTCTTAATTCTATCTTTTCTACGCTTACCACACATCCATCTTAAGCACATGATGATACAAAATTTTTGACAATTTTGTTTGGAAATTTAGAAGAATTGATGGTTAGTGTTAGCCAGAAATTAAAACAAGAATGTTAAAACAAAAGTATAAAAGTTGAAATTGGAGGCTAACTAATCATATAGTCTCTCTTTCTGGAACCTATAGTCCAAAGTTGGTGGGTATTGTAGATCTCTAGAAGCTTCCTCGACGGTACCATGGTATATGCTGTTTACTATCCCAATGATGAGTCTTGATGAACCTCTTTGTACAGCTGACATTATTTACCAAATGGGTTCTTTCTCTCGGTTTTGAGTTTCCAGATCAATTATAATCGACACGCATTGGAGAACTTTCTATTCTTTGATTTAAATGGTCTAATATTGCTTGGCCACCATTTGATGTCGTTATTACTTAAATCAAGACTTCCATACACGTGCTTGACAGCGTCTCTGGCTCGGGTGTAACTTAAGAGAGTCAATCAAACCAAACTCAGTCCAACCTAAAATTTTTAGTATTTGGGAAGAATTTTCGATAATGTTATTTAGACCTAAAATTTAATTTGATTTCTTAACATGATGACGTGGTTTCATTGGAACATTGGATCAAGAGTAAGTTTTAATGTTTTATGAGTCCCACAATCAATCCAAATGTTATGGTTAATTAGGTCAGTAAATCAAGGTAGATTTTTAGGTTCAAATATCATTGTTCGATTTATATTGACGTAATGTTATTTAGACTTAAAAATTTAATCATATTTGCTAACATGATGACGTGAATTCATTGAAATTATTGGATGAATAACAAGTTTCAATGTTTAATGAGACCCACAATCAATCCAAATGTCATAATGAAACAGATCAACAAATAAGATTAAATTTTTAGGTCTAAATAACATTATTTTTCAAATTGAGCTTGGGTGAAAAAATCTCTTACAAAATCTCAATTTGGGTTGTACTTGAATTGGAGTAGTTTTGTGTTTTTGGTATTCAACCAAAATTATTGGAACTCAGATTCAACTTGAATTGAATACAAATTGTAATCTCAGTTGTGTAACTAAACAATTAAACCATTAAGAATCAATCCAGGAATTGAAGCTAAATTCCGACCCGTGTGTAATTATATAAATATAGATATCCCTTCAAGTTGAACTTGGGTTCAAATTAAACTTAAATTGAGGAGGTTTTTATAACTTGAGTTGAGTCTGAATCGACCTCTCAACCCATCTCATGTTGGACCACTATCTCTTGCTAGGGTGTCAATCATATTCAACTTTAACTACTAAACCATGGTGTGGAGGGTCCTTTTCTTTAACTGATGTGTGATATTGTGTATCATCAATCTTGCACAATCAAAATTTATCTACAATAGCACGTACCTAAAGCTCCTGTGACAATACAAGCAATACTATACATGTATACCTGCACTTGTAGATGATTATGTAGTCTTACAAATTGATGGTTA